ACATGGCCTCCTGGTGAATCTGTGTCTAATCTACACTCTATCGTTAGCTGTTTGGTTTCTGAGTTCAACTTCCTGACTGGTAGCATCTAAACGCTTCCTTACAGCCGCTGGTTCGGTTCTGTCCGCCTGTTGCTGTGAAAGTGGTGAGAGTGAACCAACGGCATAAGCTGCAAAACCATCCCGATAGAAGCAAACTGGCCGTTCGTAGCAGCTTTAATGATTCTAAACACAGTCTGTGGAATTCAGTTTATTTCAAATTGTCAGAACAAACAAAAAATAAATAAATATCGCACACGTCTCAACACATATAAATACACAAAGTCATCGTAAAAACAGGCAAGTTCAGTTTAGTGCAAACAACAACTCTGTATCGGGTGAAACGCAGATTCACAAACAACACGTATGACGTCAACCGCAGGCTAAGTTGAGGGGGGAGGGGGGAGGGGGGGTAACGGACGCCGCACTAGCGCCATCTGACGTGGAGACCGGGTCATGGTTTGTTTTCTGAAGCAACGCTTTTCACAGCTCCGTCCAAGTGCACTTTAATCATAATCCAAAGTCAGAGACGACGGGGCGGGTGGTTCTGGTTCGCGTCCAACTTGAAGACGAGTCATGCCAACACACACACGTGACCTCTGCGGTCAGTTATCACGACGATGCATGCATATTCACAGAGAAGCCTCGCTTCTGGTAGGTAACGGTGACGACCTGTGAGTGTCTGTGGGGCTCTGAATCAGACCGGGTCACCTGATGACTGCAAATAAGGACTTTCACTTCCCCCTGTGGAGGTTTTATGGGTGAGGATTAAAGAGCGTTTATGACTGAGCGTAGGACACTCTGACAGAACCTGTGCTTGTGCAGTTCACATTTATAAGAAAACAGAAAGAAAAAAGTCATTATCTGCAGACACTGGCTGACCCGAGTCTGGTTTGGTTGCTTTGACTAAATACTCAACACTGCAGTTTAACTAAAGCCCACACGACGCTTCTTTGATTCGCTTTGACGCTACGTTGTTCTGTGTCTCGCTGAATTTCATAGATAGGAAAATAGACATCTTCTTATTTTTCTTCATTATTATTCTTTTATAAGTGTGCAAAAACTGCAAGAGTTTGAGAAATCAAACGGTGACACGTGGCTCTGACCTCCTGTTCAGCATCTCATGGATGGTTTCTACCAGACTGTGACGTAAATACAGACGCTCACTCATGCAGCTACTGAAACACTTCCTGAGGCTGAAGATGAACAAATAACGCAGGACAACATAGTAAAACACAGCTGGGATAGTATTTCATAGGAGAAGTTATAATTATTGACAAGTAGTGTTCATCAGTAATCACTTACATCTGTGTAATATGTTAAAAGCAGTTCCTACATGTTGACATGGATGCTGAACAGGAAGGAGGGCCACAGCGCCACCACAAATATCCTTCATGTGTTCCCCGTTAAGCTAAACGAACAGCTGTAGCGGTGATGTGAGATCACTTGAAATCCACGCAGTCGTCTGACCGCTGACCCGACGCTGGGACTGGGGGGCTTAACGAGCAAATTAAAAGCTGCAGAAACGGATAAAGAAACATTCAGCGTCGTGTAGCTGGAGAGGAAGAAGAAGTTTGGGTCGGATCATGTGACTGCTGTTCGGTCAGGATGGAGTCCAGATAGCGAGCGTTAGATTTGTTCGGCTTGTTGCGGATTGGTTAGCGCGTTAGGGGGGAGGGGAGGGAACAGTCGATGTCTCTCCTCGGTGCCAGGGTGGACGGTGGCGAGCTGGATTAGAAAGACTAGAATGGATCAGAGAGGAGAAGATAAGACCCCCTGTCTGTCTGCCTTCTTGTGGGCGAGCCTCGACTCTCTGGTTTCCCTCCCAAGTCACTCCTCCATCCTACCTTCCATCTATCCTGCTGGCCACCCTCCCCCACCCCCCACCCCGTCCCCATCCTCCCAGCAGTGCCTCAGGCCCCCAGCAGCTTCTTGACCAGGTAGCCCGGCATGCTGTAGAGGAAGAGGCCCAGCATGATGAGCAGCAGCAGGGCCAGCACGATCTTGATGATCAGCCACTTGTAGCGGTTGCACACCAGGTAGCGGATGGCTTTCAGCGGGCTCAGGAACCACAGGAAGGTGGTGTCTGGGCGGCTGGAGGTAAAGAAGAGGCGAAGGAGGAGGCATGCGGGCGGGTGGAGGGGTGTGTTAATGGAGGGCGGGTGAAGGAGGAGAAAGGATGGGAAGGAGTCAGAGACAGGAAGAGAAAGCTGGCGTTAGCGGTTAGTGAGCCACGTTGCATTTGTATTATTTGTCACTACTGCATGCTCACAGTCCACATTTCTACCAATATCACGCTTCAGAGGAGCAAAAAACCACATCACAGACCACAGAGTGGAAGCTTTCCAGTACGCAGAATGGACATGTTGATAAAAATGGATGGATGAGTGACTGACCAACAGCTCCAAACACTTTAAAACCCACTACAGACGTCTACCTGAGGGAGGTGTAAAGTATCTGAGCACATCTTCATTTGACCCACCATCAGTCTAGACACCTTTATTCTATATTTCTACAGGCACACGACTCGTTCTCAGTCTGTCGGCCTGAATCATGTTCTGGATGTGATGCGACACTCGTGTACATGCAGTGACTCATTTCTGCCACTAGGCGTCACTCATTCAAAACAATCACGTAGTTTGATGTGGCGGTGCGATAGCGACGGACCGCGGGAGTCATTAAATGATGGTGGACACTTTCACATGTAAGAAAGTTTTGTTCAAGTTATTTTCAGTCATGGAAAATAAAAAAAGAAATGAAATCTGATGTTAGTGTAACTGCTGACTTCCTATCTGACCAGTGGACGACCAGCACAGCTACTGCGGCTAACGCTGGAGACAGATTCAGTTGTGTGGTCTAAACAAGATGAAAGTAATTACTGATACATAATACAGAAGTTAAAAAAAAAGGTGTGTAGCATCCTAGTTTGCCTACAACTGTTTAACTCGTACACTTTCTTTATTGGTCTGCTTCTTCCTTTTCTTCTTCCTTCTGTGTTTTCAGACGTGTTTTCTGCTGTTTGACACTTTTTTCTGCCACTGACAACAAAAAACAGGGTGAAGGCAGGTTCACCTGGACAGGTAACCAGTCTATCACAGGGCTACACTTAGAGACAGACAACCAAGCACACTCACATTCACACCTACGGACAATTTACAATCACCAATTAACCTCAGCATGTTTCTGGACTGTGGGAGGAAGCCGGAGAACCCGGAGAGAACCCACGCTGCACGGGGAGAACATGGAGACTCCACGCAGGAAGATCCCGGGTGTCCTCACCGGGACGCCAACCAGCGATCTTCTTGCTGCGAGGCGCTAATGGTGCTAACCACTGAGACACCTGCAGCCCAGTCCAGTTTGGTTAATTTCTTATAATATTTTGCACACCTTCACCTTCATGCAGTATTTTTGGTGTTATATCAGATGTCAGTGAACCTCTGGACAGGACAGCCCTGGCGTTAGCTTTCTACCAATAGCATTGCTGTTCACTGAAATGGCGTTTTTATTTGCTTTGTTTTCATGCAAACAACGACGTTGAAACACCAGAAGAACGAATGTGAAAACGCTGCCTTCACCCCTCACAGGCGCTCATTTTGATATCCTGAACCTAAACAGCTGCTGGTCCTTTATTTTCTGGCGTAGCGGTTGAGGTAGTCTGAAGTGAATTGCCGTAGCGTCATAAAGCAACACCTGACATAAATGTTTAACTACAACTCTGAAGACGTGTCTGTGACTGCATCTGTCAGTTTCACCTCTTTAATGTATTTAAACTCGTACTTATTTGACATGACGTTATATTGTCAGGATGTTTTAATCTTCACGTGATTAAAGCTCTCACTAGCGGACATTTAGCAACTCACCTACACCTGAAAACACATCCCTGCATCTTCCCAAACAGTTGGTCATACATGAGACGCACAATGACACACGGCGGCAGAACACACGAACACATGGCCTGAACGAAGGGTTGGGACAAGATAGAGCAAATGATACGGCGACTAGTCTCCTTCTAAGACAGCAGAAGATATAAGTGAAGGTAAGAGTTTGGTAGGACAGAAGAGAAGGAGCTCTAGTTAAGACAGGAGATTTCTGGGGCGCGAGAAGAGAAGCAGAGACAGTGAGGAGGGGGCGGAGGCTACCAGCGCATCAGGCCCCCAGCATCTTCTTGACCAGGTAGCCGGGAATTGAGTAGAGGAAGAGGCCCAGCATGAGCAGCAGCAGTACCAGCCCCAGGGCCTTGAGGATCAGCCAGCGGTAGTTGTGCCAGATGAAGTAACGAATGGACTTCAGGGGGCCGAGAAACCACATAAGACTGGTGTCCGGGCGACTTTGCGGAAGAAGGGAGAGAAAGAGGGAGGGAAGGAATGCAGATGAGGCAAATAGAGGGAGGAAGGGTCAGGAGAGAGAGAGTCACATGAACAAAAAGAAAGAAGGAGGGAGGGAAGGGACGAGGAGGGGAGAGACAGGGAGACAGTTGAAGAGATGGTAGGAGGAGAAACGAGTGTGTAACAGACAGTGCAGAAGGCAGCGCTGAACCAGATCACGCCTTCTTTAACATCATGTAGAATCTGGTTAATTCACAGCTCTATGTTCTGATGCGCTGCTTTTTGCATCGCTAGATCCTGGAGAGAAGGTTAAGGGACACTTGGTCTGTTTCTGCTCCACACTAAACAACCACATGTTCTAAGAGTCAAACCAGTGTGTGTGTTTCTGAACAAGCATGGTTTCAGTAAATGCATCGTGTTGATGTCTTACTTTGGTTTCTCCAGCGGATCGGGCTCGTTTCGGCCCAGCCCCACAGGACTTTTCTCCGCCTCTTCGGCTGTCAGTAGGTGGAGCTCGGCCTCCACCTTCCCCTGTGACGGCACAATTACAAACACAGAAGTCACCTGGTGTAGCGGCGAACAGACTAGACGGCCGCACTGAATCCGTTTAAGTCCATTTATTTCCATCAAAACTGAACGTCCACGTCGTCCACAGGTAGAACATCTGTGTGCTCCCACACCTGTAGCTCATTCAAACAAAAACAATGACGTCACAGGCGTCCTCATAAGGGCAGGATCTCACCTTCACCCAATGAAATAACGTCTTTAAATTAAACTTTAAATTAAATCAGTATTTATATTTTTAACATTAGATTTTACCCTCAGCTTCTAACACAGGAAATTTCTTTATTTTTAACCAAAATAATATTTAAAGTCACAACAGTCACTCAAATAACTAGAAACTGAAAAAAGTAATATTAAATAAAAATTTTGCTGAATTATAATTTAGTGAAATCAGACGTTGTTTTTGAATTGTGGTTGAAAAGAATCATTTAAAAAAAACAAACAAAACTGTCCGGACCAATGAGAGGCCTTTGCTGATGAGCAGTGGACCAATGAGAGGCCTTTGCTGATGAGCAGTGGACCAATGAGAGGCCTTTGCTGATGAGCAGTGGTCCAGAACACCTGTCAACAGGTGAGAAGTCTGACTGAGAGCTACAGGAAACACCTGATGGCAGTGATTGGCTCAGAGGGTTGTTCAGCTACATGTTAGTTTACGGGTTCCATCAGGCTGTTTTTTTTTTTAATTTTTAAATATTTCTCTTGAACCAAAATTCAAAAACAACTTCATGATTTTCATTACATTTTTATTTATTATTACTTTTGTCAGTTTCAACTTATTTCAGCTGTTTTTTCCTTCTCTAGCTGGACGGTGTGAACACATCTGAGGACGACTGGACATAGAATCCATCTCATGAGTTCATCTCATGAGTTCTTCTCGTGCCACGTGTCAGACTACAGTTTTGCAAAACGCTCGTCCGTGCTCAGTCCTCCACGACATTCTTACCGTGAGCTCCATCTCATCGTTCTCATCGCGGGCCACAAACGGCCACCATCCTTTGACCCTCTTTTGCTTGAATATGGAGATGGTGGGCAGCTCCTGCTCACTTCGGATCATGTCAATGGAGCACTGCTTGGCTGTCTTGGCGCCACGAGGGAACCGGTTCAGGTCCAGCTCAATTGCACCTGAGTGTTGATATCAAAAGCAGTCAGTTTGGGAAACAGAAATAAATGTGAATGTGTTTATTCAGCTGTGTTAATATGCAGTGTGTGTGAGCACAGGGAGCAGGAGAGAAGAGAGAAACACATGCTGATGTTTGCATCACTGCAAAAAACAGAATCAGTTCTCACCCAGGAAGTCATCAGCAGAGAAGTGATCTGCGTCCCAGACCTGCATGGTGAGACGAGGAGGGATCTTGTATTCCGTCTCGTCCCAGGAGAACATGGACTCTTTCTTGGAGATCACAATCTTCTCCTCAGCCATGAGGTAATCGAAGGGGAAGACGAAGCGCCAGTTAAAGTTGCCCTCACCGGTCAGTGAGTGGTAGTGCACATCGGTGTCCTGTTTGTCCTCCTGCTGCCCTTTCAGCCATCTGTGGAAGCAGCCACCAGAAGTAGATCAGAGTCCAGCTGAGCTCTGGGACCAGGCTTTGGTGATTAGACAGATGTTAGATTTTGCCATTCATGCACTTCTAAAGGTCTAAAATGAAGGAACTTGCAATTCTCTGTCAGCTACTCTATGTCAATTTGGTGATTGAAACAAGAGCATAGGACACGTAGAGGTCTACTAACAAGAGAGATGATGCTAGTAGGTCAAAATCAGAAACACATAATGCGGCTCCCCAAAAGCAAACCAGATTCATAGAAATGTGTGTGCGATAAAAATGCCGTAACAATCTGATTTGATGTTGGAGTTTCACACTATTTCCAAAGCCATGCACACATAAAGCTCGCAAACATGTCATCGGTGAAGTTTCTCCAATAGGTTCATTAAAAAAAATTTAAATAAATAAATCTTTGATGTTTGGATTCTGATCGCGACTCGAGGATCAAAGTCGGGCTTCAGCTGTTTGACCAACAGCTGGGTGATGGTGGCTTCATGAGTCAGGAGGAGCAGGAGGGAAGCTGCACTCTCAGTTCTCAAAATGCACCACTAAAAAAAGTGAGCTAACTTACTGTTAGCATGGAATAATCCTGAAAAAGACTGCATCACACAGTGCTAGGATTTGGTAACTGAGATGCAAGCCGGGATCAAGGCTTCAGCGAGAGGGCAAGAAAAGAAAAACCAGAACCATGCCTGCTCTCATGTGACCCAACATGTGAATCAGCACGACTGTATCACAACAGCGGGTCCATCTGAAACAACCCCCAGCTCTCCTGTCTCTGCTGTCGCTGTGGGACACCTGCTGCTGGAATCTGAAGCTAAAGACGTTGATTCTTAAAAACGCATCCAGCAGCGTTCAGGGTTGTTTGAGGATGGCGCCCTGTTCGGTACAGCATAAGGCCCGGAGACGACGCATCCACTGGCGTCAGCTGAGGGAGAAGTGAGTTCGGTTAAGAGATGCAGGAGTGACGAGGCGCCAAAAACAGTCAGCGTGTGATGTGTCGAAACAAAAGTCAAATCCAGGCTGAAAAATAACAACGCTGTTAAAAACATCGGAGCGGCATGCGTACAATCACCGAGCACTTCGTTACAAACACCGGGACTCTCGTGGAATTATCCAATCAGCAGTAAAACTTTATCCTTCACTGAATAAAGGGCTGATTGTTGGTACCAGATGGGCCGGCCTGAGTCTAGAACTGCTGATCTCCTGGAAATTTCCCCCACAAAAAAAATCTCCAGACTTTCCTCAGAGTTTGACACAAAGCTGAAAACATCCGGTGATGAGATGTCAGAGGTTGGAGCCGACAGAAAGGCTGAGCTAACTCTGATAACCACTTTCTACAGCTGTGGTGAGCAGAAGAACATCTCAGAACGAACTTCATGTCAGATCTTGACACTTATAGGCTGCAAAAGGAGGAAAACCACCTCCGGTTTCTCTCCTGTCAGCCACGAACAGAAATCCGAGCGGGCACAGAGTCAACAAAACCGGACAGTTGAGGAGTGGGGGGACGAAATAGCCCGGTTTCATGAATTTCAATTTCTGCTGAGGCTGCAGATGGTAGGCTCAGAATCTGGCATCGACATCGACCCAACCTGCTGGGCATCAACAGTCCAGGCTGTTGCAGTGGGCGGTGCAATGGTGTGGGTAAAGTTTACTTTGCACACTTTGGGCCAAGCAGTCATGATATGAACACCACAGCTTGTCTGAGCATTGGTTCTGACTGCACAACAATGCACCGAAGCTAAAGTGGTTTCATTTGCATGACAGTGAGCTCAGTGGAGTTCAGAGGGCCACAGCCACCAGATCTGAAGAGGCCCTTTGAGATTTGGTTTAACAGCAGAATGAATGTGCAGCTGGCAGATCTGCAGAAACGATGAATCATGTCAACATGGAGCAAATCTCAAAGGAGGTTTCTCACATCGTATGGAGTCCATGTCATGAAGAGCTGAGGCTGTTCTGACAGCAGGGGGAGGCCCAGTGCCAGTACGGTGCTCCTAATGAAGTGCTGGGTGAGTATACAGTTCAGTGTGCTTCATGCAAGATTCTTTCTTCTTATTATTCATATCTGGAAACTTTTTCTTTGCCAGTAACGTCCAGGAGCAGCAGCAGTAAAGGACCAAACCACAAACCGTCAGAGAGAAAATCATCCAGTGTTTCTGACCAGAGTGCATTTTTATGGGTGATGCTTAAGAATTTGAAAAACATATCAGTTTAAACACATTTTGTTTTCTTAAAGCATGATCTAATTAATGTGTCACGGTGGTTAGCACCGTTAGCGCCTCACAGCTAGAAGGTCTGTGGTTGGCGTCCCGGTGAGGACACCCGGGATCTTCCTGCGTGGAGTCTCCATGTTCTCCCCGTGCAGCGTGGGTTCTCTCCGGGTTCTCCGGCTTCCTCCCACAGTCCAGAAACATGCTGAGGTTAATTGGTGATTGTAAATTGTCCGTAGGTGTGAATGTGAGTGTGCTTGGTTGTCTGTCTCTAAGTGTAGCCCTGTGATAGACTGGTTACCTGTCCAGGTGAACCTGCCTTCACCCTGAGTCAGCTGGGATAGGCTCCAATGGATGGATGATCTAATTCTAATTCAAAGTGCAGTCTGAAAGGGTCCAGTCGTAGTGGCTATAATCCACACTGGAAGCTCACCTGACCCTGTTTTTCACAGCTCTATGCAGCTCTGCAGCATTTATTCTAACATACAAACTCTCAAAACCAGCTGCATGCTGCCTGTCAGACAGCCAGCAATCAGCAGGTAAATAGAGCAGAGTTTTTATTTGCCACAGAGCCAAACATTTACCCCGCTGACCGTCTTTAAGTGGCAGAAATGCAACTATCTGCTGCGAATGTAGACTGGCTGTAAAATGCTGTCCTACTCTAGTGAGACTAATTTGAGTTGCGAAACGTAAATGGGAACTTCAGCGTGAAATTACATGAAGTAATCATGAAATAAATGAAAATTAAACTCTGTCATTTCTGTGTGACAGGGTATCTGTGTAATAAGTCAGAATCCAGGCATATTATCGGTCATGTTGGTGTGTCAGTCCGGCTTTATGAACTCAGCTTAGACGTCAGATTTCCCTGAAATGTGACAGACCTGTAATCATTCTGCAGTTATTCTTGTGGTTTGGTCCTTACCGCTCTAGTTTGTCATTAGGCCTTCAGCGTGCTGAGAGGAGAGTTTCAGACAAGCGAGGTTGCGTGCTGGATGAAGAGTTAAAACAGGAAGGGTTGTAAAAATAAAAAATAAAAATTCAAGTGCTTCAGGGGGGAGGAAAGGAGGGTATTGGTACGAGCCATGCGATGGAATCGTGTGTTTACCCCCTGACATAGATGTCAGACATCTTCTCTCCTGTCATGAAAGCATCGTCCTCTAGAATTACGTCATCAGTGTTCCAAATAACAACACGAAGCTCAAAGCTAGACAGCAGCAGAGCATTGACCAGAGAGGAGAGAGAGGACGACAGACAGACAGACAGACAGACAGACAGGAGACACGCCACAGACACAAACACGCACACAGAAAAAATGGAAACAAAACAAAACAAAAAAAAAAATGGTTAACTGCAAAAAAAAAAAAGTCCACACACAGCTTACACCCACGGGAGGAGGCGTGGCCGCCCCGCCCCGCCGTACCTACCCCCTGACAAATATGTCACTGGACTTTTCCCCAGTGAAGTAATCATCGTCCTCCAGTATTACTTCGTCTGTATTCCAAATAATCACCCTGAGCTCATATCTGGTAAGGGGGGGAGGAAGGAACACATACACACACAGTTGGACTTATATTTGGCATTAACAGAGAGCTAGCTGTTCAGAAAGACTCACCAGCATCTAACCCGGGGATAAAACTACATTTCTGTTGAAAGAATTTAGACACTTTAAAAGAAATAAAACATCTTTCCCTCTGAATTTGCGTTGGTTTAAAACACAATAATCAAATTGTTTGTTATTGATGCTCCAGTCAGGGTGTACCTCTTTGGTTTCCGTGGCGATATATCAATCGCGGGTCCAGGAGCAGGCATATCCATAGCAAACATGTCCACCCACATCTCAATACGGCCCTTCAAGAAAGCAGATGTGCTGCTGTGAGTACCAGGCCTGATGAGCTGCAGGACTTGAGGAGACGAGGCGGCTCTCTCCTACCTGCTCGATGCCGGGCTTGTCGGGGTTCAGCAGCGGTCTGGTCTCCACGTGTTCAGGGACGAGCTTGCAGCCGACTCGGGGGATCTCCTCCCAGTGGTTCAGCACCGCCAGGGCTAAATGCTCCTCCGTCTGCTTCTTCAGGCCTGGGAGGTCAACACAGAGACAAAAAGGGAAAAACAAAGAGGACAGGGGAAGGCAAGGCATCAGAATACTTGAACCTAACTTAACCCTAACCCTAACAAGGTGGATTTCCTTTTAAGACATTTACAACCTAGTTTCATTTAAATCAATCACAGGATCAACATACTGTATAGAAGCACTGCAGAATGGCTGAAACGTAAGGAGGACTGTGGTTTAGTACAAAGAAGAGAGAATGTAGAAAATGTAGAGGAACATTTCTGCAAAACACAACTGATATTCTGTCAGATATAAGACATGATCACGACTTTAAATCACTGGCTGCCATCGCGGTTCGTTGAACAGTGATGGTGGAATGGAATAGAAGAACAATCCAGTCATACCGTTTTCATCCTCGATCTCTGTCAGTCCCGTAAAGATCCGACTGGCCACCTTGACTTTGCCTCCTGGCCCGTAATGAGGTCCATCGATCTTGCCTTCCTTACAGAGCTTAGCCAGGATCTGGCTGGGCTTCATAGGGTCCCGCCAAACGTTGTACCCGTGGCTGACATACAGCAGATAGCAATGAGTTGTTGTGTTGCTCACTCTCATCACAAAGAACACAAACTACACTTAGAGTCTGATATCGTGACACTACAACCCAGCTAGTAGCTCAAACACATAAAGGACACGACACCGTGACGCTCACACAGAGTAGTTGGATGAAATGCCGCAGGTGGCTCTGAACTTGCTGTAGAAGCGATTCTCCAAATCGATCTTCGTCTCTCCGATCAGGTCGTCGGTGCCAACCAGATCCCAGTCGTACACGGACACGGTGAGCATGGACTCCATGGGGAACGTGGCCTCGATGTCGAACGATCTTAGAATAAACAGAATAATTCAAAAGGTTCAGGCTCATCCAAAATAACACTGCATAAAAACAGTACAGTCAGAATCCATGAGAGAATCCTTATTCCTTTGTTGTTCCTTTGTTTTGTCCATGTGACTGCCAACATGTGACAACACGCTCACAGCAGCTTCCTTTAAACTCACTTGCCAAACACAGGGTTGAGCTGTTTGGAGATGTAGTTCTCTTTGTCTTTGACTTCTGACTTGCCCAGTTTGATGACGACGTAGGGATCAGCCTTCCCGTTGATGTCAGCAGGATGGAGGTCTGTCGCCTGAGGCAGCGGAAAACACACAGAACAGAAGGAAACAGGAGAGAAATTCACCTCATTCAATATTTATGGTACTTACTGTTTAGATAGATTCACATTTTGAGACGTCACCCACCCTAACGACGTAGACACGGACGAGCACGTTGATCGGATCGTTGTGTGGGATGCTCTGGAACATGCCCATGTTAGGATCAAATCCCGCCTCTCTTGTGATCTCCTCGGACAGAGGCAGCTTGTACATGCACAAGGATCCCTGCACGACAGAAGAAACGTGCTCATGTGACATAGTTTCTGTCAACTAGTGTAACCGGACATGTAAAGGTTTGGGTTAGGGTTTATGGACAGCGTTCTCCCACCTTGAATCTGCCAACAATCCTGTCGTCGTCCAGGGCGTGCTCGTCGTCGTCCCCGGCCTTTCCTCGGTACAGGTTGAAAGTGTGAAGCCAGTCTTCAAAGTTGCCGTACTCAGTCTCCAGTTCCTTGTTGTACACCTGCACAGGCCAAGAAGCACATTAAAGTGCAGCGCATGTTAAAAGAAGGAAGGTTTCCCCTTTTTTACTGCTTTTTAACACTGAATTCTGATTATTTTAATTTGGCTTTGTTGACAAGAATCACAAAAAATACAGTTTTCATGAACGCCGTACTCACCATCAGCTCGTCCACTTTTGTTTTAACCGGACGCTTCTCAGAGCCGTCCGTAGCCAGACCCTTCTTCTTGTCCTTGGAGCTCTTCTTCTCCTTGGTCTTCTCCTTCATCTTGGAGCCTTTCAGAAGAAGGTCATCGGGTTTGATATCTGATTGGGAGGGTGAATGGAGGTGGAGTTGGAGTCATGATGAGGGGTGGCGGGGATGCACACAGCGCTACACGTCACACAACATGAAAGCTGACAGGCCGTTTTAATCAGGGGCTAAATCACCCTGATGTGAATGTATTCAGATATCCTGAACTCCATTTAGAAACATCACAAACTGTACCACCACCTGGAAGCTAACCTCACTGCAGTGATGCACAGGTGTGCTGCAGGATAACGTGAGATCACTGTTGGTGCAAAAAAAAAATTACTCTTTCAGGAGGAAAACAAGGATGTTATTAGTAGACAGTTAGTAGGCATTTTATTTCAGAGGTGCTCTGTTGCATATTATCACTAAAAGCTTTTTGCCGTTACGTCTGAGATGCTCACTTCATGCAGAACTTAACGGTACGACAGCGAGCACAGAAGCTTGTTGGAACTGTTGATTAAACGCTGCAGAAACGTCACAAACACATGAAGACCATTTTCTCATGTGTTTAAACTCAATCTTGTCCCTGAATTTGACGACAATACGCAACAAGCAGCACCTTTACTGAAGCGGCACGTCTCATAGATGCAGGTTAAATTATTCACTTTTCCATGTAATAAAGGGAATGTTAGCGCGGATTAATCCAGTGGATTTGTGTCAGCCAACTTTCATCTGTAATGCACAGCTGGGAAGTCATGCTGATGTAAATAAAGTGTGATCATGTGAAGCACAAAGGAAGGATGGATTCATGGGATGGAAGGAGAAGAAGAGCAGGAACAAGGCCTCACATGCTCTTGAGCAGCCCTAAAAAAAATGAACTGAAAACAGTCCGGAATATGTCCTCAGAAGCTCAACTCAAGATCCAATATTAGCGACATGTCCCTTTAAAATAAATGAAAGCAGCAGACGTGGAGGCATGCTGGCAGCAGGCGCCGACTTATCTGCTGGAGTTCAGTACCTGCCGCTTCAGCCGCTATCTCCAGGTCCTCTCTCTCCTCCGCCTCCGCCTGAGCCGCCTCCTGGGCTCTGAGGGTCTGAAAAACCAAAGTGTTCATCAGTCCAACAGGATTCCACAGACGATCCTGAGCAACCTGCCAGAACATGCAAACAGAACTGGCCGGATAAGAGCGGACGGACCTCCTTAAGAGTCTCGATTGAAGCGAAATATTTCGACCACCAGTCCAGCACTCGCTCGTCTGTCTCTTCCTCTTCCTCCACGCCTCCCTTCTTTTTCTTCTTCTTCTTCTTTTTGTCACCCTCTTCTTCAGTCTGGTAGAAAAACAGGGATTCTCAGTAGCTTTAGTTCTTGTTTATAACGATGCGTCACATCTCATTAGCTTCCTACAGGAGCACTACTCACCATGTCAACTTTTACAACAGCGTCAGACATCTACGATAGGGGGCGTCACACAAAACAACACAAGGATTAATGCACACAACGGATGGAGCAGGTGTGAGCGGCACAGGTACAGAGGCAGGTATAAAACACTGGACAGGAAGCAGCGCTGCTACTCCCATCATGTACATCTACAGCGCTACACTGTGCATGAGCTCAAAGGAAAGCTTACAGCGTCCAGTTTGACGACCGTGTCCATCTTTCGGACCAGAGGCTCGGCGTCCATGTTGACGATCATGTCACCTGCGGGGCGAGAGAAGGTGCGGGAAGAGAGGCTGGGTGAGGAGCGGGGCTGGGAGGAGCCGCCATTGGTTAGGACCATGTAGCCATTCATTAGCTTAGCTGGAGCGAAGCCGGACGTTAGAGACAGGCGGCAGGGAGGCAGGAAGAAGGACAGGACAGCCGAGGACATGCAAGAGAGAGAAAGAGGGAGGGAGGATACAGAGAGGAAGGTCAGGGCAGGAAGCAAGCAGAGAAATCAGCAAAGTTAATGAAGAAGAAAACGTCTTTTTCAGGAACCAGAGAGCCGCATCAGAAGGATGTGGATGTAATTCTGAAGGAGCTCCTTTTATTTAACCTCTGATTTTAAAAAGAGTAAATGTCTAAAAATGATTTGCAAACCTTGTTTCACTGATGTTCTGCAAATCTTTTTAGGAAAAAGGAAACAACAGGGAAAGAGCTCCCCTGTAAGGATTTATTCAACAATAATATAGACGCCACTTGTTCTATCACTCCATTACCTCAGCATCCTGCAATCTTTACAATCAGTGGTGCTGGGTTTTAGCTTTGACACACAGAACATCACAGCTCCTGGGCTCCTCGCTAACTAATGAATGTACTGCTTCAGATGAGCACCTGCAGTGGCCCAGTTGTTGGAGTTCTTGTCTGGTGTGCTGTAGATGAAGCGTCTCAGGCTGCTGACGGCGTGGGACCCCACCAGGATGTAGCGGCCGAACGCTCTGCAGTCCACCACCCGGATGTTGAGAGGAGGATGGAGGAGCTCGTTTTCTGGGAGGTCCTGGTGTTCACAACAACAGACTTTGTTTGAAGCTTTATGTTCCCTACAGCGGGCGTCTGTCTTCGTATTAAACACACACTCACCACCTCGAACCACTTGACCAGTGTGCTGAAGTTGGGATTCTTCTTGTAGTTCTGGATGAGGGCAGACTGGACGCCCCTACCTGCACACTCTATGTCCACACGAGGCCGATCCACCTGAGCTAAGTTAATCCTCTTCAGGTCCCTTAATCCCCAGAACAAAACCTGAACAAGAGAAAAGAAAATCGCAGTAAGACGGGGGATCTGTAGAGCTCAAATCACAGAGCCACAGCAGCAGCAGATAAAACCCACCTCAATGCGGTAGCGACTCAGGACGGGTCGGATGCCCAGCGGCACAGGAAGGATGGGTCCACGCTCGGAGTCCGTCGGGCCCTCGAGGGGAGGAAGGTCGCCTCTGCCTCCCTGACCGATCTAATGAGAGTGGAAGGAGAAGAGCTAAACCAGGCTGAAGCATTTACTCCTGCTAATGTCTCTATGAATTCTAGCTATGCTGAGAATAACAACTTTAAAGAAATCCAACGGTTAGTGTCACACTGACAGAGAACAAAGACGCTGCCTGTAGCAGCACTGAAAACATTTAGGACAAAGTGGGATGAGAAGAGAGAATGAAAAGAGAAACCTTTATCTGAGGAACAGCAAAGTTATGGACAGCGATCAGAGCTCGCCTGATCTCCTCCGCATCGAAGGGTATCTGTAGGCAGCAGGAGGAGAGAGAGACAGCAGACATGGATATTTAAGAGAAGGAACTGTGAATGGAAGGTGAACTGGAAAGGGGGGACATAGAAAGAGAAAGAAGGAAGGAAATGGGTTGCTCGTGTAAACCACAGGAGTGTAATGATGCAGGAGGCAGGTTGTGAAAACTAAAGACTAAAACAGGAGATTTACAAGTCGAGACAGACGGAGAGAAAGACAAAAGTATTTCTGCATTTTTTCCTCATCATCTTTTGTGCACATCACTGAAGGAACCCTGTGGATGTTTTTATGTTTGGTTTTTATCACAGAAGCATGCCGATGACCTGATGCGTGTCTCTGCGGTTTCACGCTTTTCTACGGTTGTGCTGCAGCAACAACTAATCTGGTTTATTTTATTGGACGTGCCAATAAAACTGAGAAGAAGACTGCAAAGTAAACAAACCACAGGCCTTTAATGAGGCAGTGGAACATCTCATCTTTCCATTTTTCTTGTTTTCTTTACCATCGCCACCAACTCCAACCTCTCGCTGAGAACATCCCACAGAGAGCATGTGTGCATTCATCATCATCATCATCATGGTGCTCTGATGTGCTGTACGTGTTACCTGCAGCAGCTCGAAGGCAGCCAGCAGCTCCCCGGCGGTGCAGTTCCCTCTGTAGACCTGGTAGTACTCCAGCTGTGGCGGGAACCTCGGGGGCCCGTAGTGCTCGTCGCACATCTTGATGGTGGGCTTCGCAAAAGTCCGGCCTATGAACTCTGCTTTACCCTGTTCACCGTGTGACGGTCCAGACAGTGAGGGGATAAGGGAAGGGGGTTAGACGTGGGTGAGGGAGGTGCAGTTTCCAGGGCGGCCACTTGGTGTCAGTGTTGATTACGGTGGTCGAAGACCATCAAAATGTGCAAAAATAACTCACTAACACATAAACAACTTGAGGGAACAACAGAGTGAAAAAGAACAACAGTTGATCTACTTGTTGTTCAAATTAAAACACTTTGAAACACTTCCTTCACTTTGCTCCATCTGTGAGTGTAGGAAGGAAGTTTTTCACAACCGTTGCTCTGAACAGTAACCCAGCTGGAAAATGCACATGCAAGAAACTCATCAGCAGCGAGTTGAACCAAACAATTCATGCTACAGCCAGCACCAGTCGTAGGACCACGTTTCTAGGACTCTTGTTCATGACAGCGCCGCCGACTAACGTGGACGATGAGGGGAGAAGCACGCATTGATGCAAGGACCACATTTCTGACCACAAGCCATTAAAAACTAGGAATCGGCGACCACATCGGTGTCGGTCGATATTAGTGTTTTTCAGTCTGATGAACAAATTTAGCCGACATGAAAAACCAGAGATCGTCTACCGTCAGCGCCTTCGTCTCTATGTTTGATATCGCTGCTATTTCTCAGATGTTTTTACTTAAATTATCCTTTAATGTTAAATATGTTATGTAATAAAGACGACTCTGGTCTAATCTGGGCTTCTTTTGAATAGTTTAAATGTTCTCACAGTGCTTACTTAAACTTATTTTTCGGTGTGAACAAAAAATTGAATATCAGTAACATCGGTTATCGGCGATATCAGAAATCTTAATATCGGTATCGGCCAGAAATTTTAATATCGGGCATCACTATTAAAAACAAACCGCTTTAGCTGGACAGCACAGGTACAAAAAGCTCGGCAAAGTGGGATTTTGTCTTTTAATTTGGTATTTTAGATGGAATAAACCTTTACACCGTTTGTTAGGAAGTACTACTCGGGTGGAACAAAAGCTTTAAAAATATAAGTACCTGAACAGAAAGTAGTATTCTGGGTGGAATAAACCTTTAAAAGTACAGATAATTGGACAGAATGTGGTACATGGATGGAATAAACCTTTAACTTGTTTGTTATAAAGAACTATTTGGGTGGAAGGAAACCTTAAAAATTACAAGTACTTGGAATAAACCTCTAAAACTGTATTTTTTTAATGGATTAAACCTTTAAAATCATTTGTTAGAAAATAGTATTTGGGTGGAATTAAACCTTATAAACTACACGCGGTGTTTTGGGTGGAATAAAGCTTTAGCACCACAGCTTGTTAGAAAGTATGAAACCTTTAAAACTTTCCGTACACGGACAGAGAGCAGTATTATTTTAATGAGACGAACCTTTAAAACCAACTTGTTGGCTAGAAAGTGGAATAAACCCTAAAAATGTTAAGTGGTGTTCTGAGTGGAGTAAACTTTTAAAGCCGTTAGTCATGCACTTAAGCGCTCATCCCGCTGGTCGTGACAAACAAGGGTCCCAGAAGTGTGGTCCTGAAACTGCAGCCTCCTCTGCTGCAGACACTTTCACACTCTATGCAAGCAGCAGAGCATGAGCGAGGTCGGAGGTCATGGAGAGGACAAGTCGGAGTGAGACAGACGGAGAGAACACGAGGGATGGAGAAGCAAAGCACATTTAGTTCAATCAGCACAGGCTAGCTCTCTGAAAACTGTTGAGCAAGCAGCTTCTGTGCGGCTCTGTTTATTGGCTGTCGTAGGGTGGGATCCTACCACAGTGTCCTGGTCGTAGATCTCCACCACGATGATGGGAGGGTCGTCTCTCAGCTCGCTGGCTTCACCGAACAGCTCCACGTCGTCAAACACCAGCAGCTGGTCCCACGTCGGGCACAGGGTCTCACTCAGGACCTGCAGCCGCCACACAGCAACTCGGTTTGCACGAAATCAACACACACAGAGTCGGTATGCGCACACACACACTCCCGTTACCTCGGTAACCTGGCTGTGTGTGGAGAAGAAGACGCGAGCGAAGGGGTCCGACAGGCCGCTGCTGTCGGCGGCAAACAGGCTGCGGGCCTGGTACATGTGGGCTCTGAGCTGAAACACCTGCTTCACTGTTGGACACACAACACACGGCATCAGCCGACACCTCAGACCGAAGTCAGAAAAGAGAACCACAGAGTACAGAGATCGATAGCAGCCAATTGTCTCCTCCTGACTTTTTCCATTTGTGTTTTCCCTTTAGTTGATTTTAGAGTTAAAACGTAACAGTAAAATCAGGAGCAAGTGAAAGGAGAGAACATAATGCAGAACGCTGTGGTGAATGAAAAGTAAATGTCTGTGTGCAAAGTTCTGGGGAGCTGAAATAAATCTATCGCTGCATGTCAGGCATCATCGGATGTTGACGTTAGAGCGACAGACGCTTTGAGTGATGAAGTGTTGGCTGTCAGACTGTCTGCGTCACAGTTTGTCATGTATGATGTGTGCAGCGCTTACTGTTGTAGACGAGGCTGACGGGGGGGACAGACTGAAGACCAGAACCCACTTTAGCTGCTTTGAGCTCTTCAAACCCGTTGGGCAGACCGGTGAGGAAGTCCTTCCGCTGCTTGTTGAGGCCCAGCCACAGATACAGCTCCAGCTTGGCCTGAACGGTCCAGCCGGCAGGACCGAAGCCCTTCTTACCGGGCAGCTGTGCACACAACAGCATGATTAACATTTTAAAAGAGTTGCTGAGGATTCCTGAAGAAACTGTTGCTGAATATCTTGAGGAGCTCAGCGTTTAGCATGCTTCCACATATCCTCACTCTGTTATTGGTATTTTGATCACTCAGCATTATGCGATGTCGCATCTCAGCTCGAGTCAGACATATTAAGTAGATATCATCCAAGTCCATAGTACCGGTCTGTAATGTTCTGTCTGCTTTTATCTTGACTATTCACCACTTCTCATGAATAATTACAGGTCTTCAGATGGTTAAAAGTTAGCAAAGTGTCTTTTAAAGTAAGAAGCTGTCAAGAGAGAGGCAGAGGAAGAGGACAGCACCTTGAGGAAGACAGCTTTGACTTTTCCACAGTCTTTGCCGGTTTCTTCGTCCACTATGGAGTACAGGATGTCTTTGGAAGGAACCCGGGCGTAAGCGATGCGCTTGTTGTTGCTCATCATCCAGATGAAAACATCTGGGATGCTGTGCTGAGGCTGGACAGAAACAAGACGACACCACTCCTCGTTATCTCAGGTTCTCTTTATAGTGGTGATCATGAGCATAACAGATCCATTCTACTAAATGTGTTGGTATGCACTCATTCAGAGCAGGGTTCAGACCACAGGACTGGAGTTCTACCTCGTCAGCAAGGAAACGGAGCCTCTGCAGGAAGTTCTGCACCAACTTGAGCTTGTCTCTGACTGTGTTCTTCTTCACTTGAGTCCGAATCTGCTTGGCCTGTTGGCCCATGCTGTCCTGCAGGAGGAGAGATGTTAGGAGGTGATGATACAGCAGCACCTGGCATCACTGCTGTGGCTCTATTCATGTTCAGTTCAAATTAGGAAACATGGTTTGGATCCTACAAACTCTGTTTTTAGGAACTACACAGACGTCACTGACGCTGCTAACCTTGGTGGCAGCTAACTGCTATTTTGGGGAGTTTCTATCCATAAATGATGCCTCTTACAGCCATGAATCATTGACAGCGGTTAACACTGTCGCCTCACAGCAGGAAGCTTCTGTTCTGTTCAGCTGGAGCCTTCCTTTGTGGGGTTTGCATGTTCTCCCTGTGCCTGTAGACTTTCCAAAGACATGCATGGTAGATTATTTAATGATTCCAAGTTGCCGTACACGGCTGTGTGTCTCTTTGTGTTAGCCCTGGTGATTGGTAATGTGTCCAGAGTGTAGCGTCTTCACACCCTTCAACCAAATAAAGCAGATAGCTAATGGACAGATGGAAGTCTGTGTCCCCGCCTCTTTCAGATTCACCCACAGTAACGTGCTGCAAACACAGACAAACATGTACCATGTTGTTTTTTCCCAGTACGTGTTCACATCCTTCAGAAGCATCACAAACGCAGACACCTGGATACACACTGGAAACTGTTCATACACTACTCTGTAAAACTGTTTGCAGATTCTTTCTTGTTGCATTTCTTCTTGAAGCAAATTGAAGTTGACACGCAGTTAAATACAAACACTGGAGCAGAGAGAATGTGATGATGAACGTACTGCAGATGCATGCCAATGTGTTCCAAGGAATTATTACGAGAGAGTGAAAATGTTTTTCTCAAATGAATTTCCTCGTTTGGCCTTTACAGCCACTCCAACGATGAGATTAGCGGCTCAGCAGCTTCCACATTCTTGACATTAATCAAAGCTTCCTCTCTGTCTGTGATGCCACGTCACTCGTTCTGCGTTTGAAAAACAGAAATCTTACCATCTCTCTCATGCAGGACTTGAGCCGTTCTCGATCGAGTTTGGTTCTGCCCGCCTGGTTCACGTCCTTGTTCGCCAGAGTCACGAAGCGACTGGAAAACACGCAGAAAACACAGAAGTGGCTCGACTGATTTATATGCATGACCAGATGTTAATGAACTGCTTATTGAAATATTTCATCTCTCACAGTAACACAGAGGCAGTCACTATACAGTCAGCAGCTCCAACAGATAGAAAACAATACAGACACTGCGAGCTGCTTCACAGAGACACTCATGATGACTGTGTTTGCCTCGCTGCAGAGCGCTGCTTGATGAAGACGGGAGAAGTTGTTTTAATAGCATTCAGTACAAACCTGGCTGTTAAGCACCACACAGCTCAAGGACTTTTACAACTCTTAGTGCGAGGAGAAGCTCTGCATCAGTTCTGACCACGGAGTCCTAATGCCGGTTCTGATACAGACCATGAGAGACGGTTATAATCATGTAGACTACCTGCAGCCGACGCTGAGCTCCTCCAGCACTCCTCTGAGTCGGCGCTCTGGAAAGGCCTTCTCCGTCTTAATGACCTCCTGAACATCATTCAAACCTTCTTCCTGTCAGGACACAAAAACATACTGGAGCTGAGGACAGATCAAGCCGTCAAGTTGACTCACGGCTACAGTCGTCCTCAGATGTGTTCATAGCCTCCCATTAGAGAAGGAAAAAAACTGCTGAAATAAGTTGAAACTGACAAAAGTAATAATAAATAAAAAATTAATGAAAGTCCTGACATTGCTTTTGAATTGTGGTTCAACAGGAATATTTTTTAAAAAACCAGCCTGATGGGACCCGTGAACTAATATTTAGCTGAACAACCCTCTGAGCCAATCAGGTGTTTCCTGTAGCTCTCAGTCAGACTTCTCACCTGTTGACAGGTGTTCTGGTTTCACTGCTCATCAGCAAAGGCCTCTCATTTGTCTGAGACAGTTTCTTGTTTTATTAATTATTCTTTTTCAACCACAATTCAAAAGCAGCGTCTTATTTCACTAGATTGTGTTTCGACTGATCAGAACAGGATCAGTTCTGAAACGTGTAGATCAACAGACGGGTGTGGTTAGCTTAGCTTAGCACAAAGACTGAAAGCAGAGGGAAACTGTTAGCGTAGCTGCGACCTCCCTGCAGCCTGCGGTTGTTTTAAGGTTTGAATATGGTTGTCAGAGCGTTGTGGGGAGGTTCCATCAACGCTCCAACCACAGCAGCTTAACATGGACATGATGAAGTCTGGATTTTCAGGATTTACCTGATGAGCAGGTGGGGCGGTGATTGGTCGAAGGGTGGAAGGAGGGAAGGAGGGAAGGAGGGAAAGAGAGGAGGGAAGGAAAGGAGGAAGGAGGGAGATTGTTTACAGGAAACTACAGATATATACAAACACCCAAAATCGTACAGAGACCAAACATGTACATGCTCAGGGTTAGCAGTTTTTATTTATTATTACTTTTTTTCAGTTTCTAGTTATTTGAGTGACTGCTGTGACTTTTGCCTTTTCTTTAATGGAAGGCTGTGAATACATCTGAGGACGACTGTACACATCCATAACATGTCATACAAATAAATCAAGGTGCACATGGTTCTTCAACCTGAAGGAGAGGCACAGGGCGGGCATATTGGACCGCCAAGGAAGTTACCAGACATGGTCGGTGGCCCCATAAAGGGTTAAGTTAATGCCGCCACACTCACCAGCTTGTCTGCAATTTTATCCATCATGTTGGAGTTGTAAAGTCGCCTCCTCTGGTCCTGCCACCAGCTCTTGATGTAGACACACGGCTTCTTTTCAAAGTAGGGGAGGTGGAAGTAGTTCCTGTGAAGTTTAAACAAAATTAAAGATGTTGTGCAGCTACTCTCTGATTACAGCGAATTATTGTCACCGCTGTCTCTAAAAACTGTACATTACGTAGTCTACGCCTGTTTTTCTTCATCCTACTGGAACAACACAGTCGGCTTTCTCTGACCTGTCGGTGATGACGGGCTTCATGAGAGGAGTCGAGGAAACTGAGACGAGGTCGCTGTCCTCGTCCGCCTCGTCCTCGCTGGAGTTCTGGATCAGCTCACTTTCCTCCTCTTCGCTCTCCCCGTCCTTCTTCTTCCTCTTTGACATCGAAGGTTTGCTCACGCCGTCTATCTGGTTGCCGTAGTTACCTGATAAATGAGCATTGTGTGTGAGTGAGCAGCGTCTGTTGGTTTCTACTCGCTGTTGGGTTTCTTTGTTATACTATAAACTTGTGGCGTGCAGGTCGGCATTGACAAGGCTGGGAGAAAGCGTACTTACCTAACGTGATTTCAAAACTGATGGCTTTGTCGCCAATCTTCCTGTCGATCATGGTGGCTTCCAGGAAGGAACCGAAGAGGAAGAACTCGTCTATCTTCCCCGTGGCGCTCTGATGGAGTAACAGGAGCAAGAAGTGGTTTATCTGCTACTTTTCTAACTGCATTAATGTTTTTCTGACCTCTAACACTTTCTACTCATTCATGTGGCTGCGATTAAAACGTACATTTTAACTGCTGCTCATTACTGTTTTAACTGCAGCAGTTGATCACAATGTTTTCCAGGTGGTCATGTTCGTCTGGGCCTGTGTTCACCTGCTGACTGGAGTCATGCCAGCCTCAGTATGAATGGATCAGACGGTACATCTCACATCTCCCCCATACTGGCTTCTCTCCACCGGCTCCCTGTCTGTCTTAGTATTGATTTTAGGATTTTACTGATCACAGGCTGCTGCTTTAGCTCACTTGGTTGAGCTGGTGACCCATGTACAGGGGCTATAGTCTCTGATGTAGCAGCCGTGGGTTTGAATCCCGCTCATGGCCCTTTGCTGCAACCCATTCCCCCATTCTCCTCCTCACTTTCCTGTCTCTCCTTTAACTGTCCTATCTAAAGGCTATCCGATCCTAAAGGCCAAAAAAATAACTTAAAAAAAAAGATTTTACTGATACGTGCTGATCCGAGTTTTGGGTTTTTATTGTGAACCACTGTTCAGTGTCTGTTCCTGTGGTGTTGGGGGCTGCTCGTGTTTTTCAGGCTGGACGGGGTTTTTTGGACCGGAGCGGTCTCACTCTCTCCCACACCTGAGGCTCATCTCTCATTAGCGCTGGATAAAGCCCGCCTCCACCTGTGCTCCAGAACCAGTGGATTATCCTCCCATGAGTGGTAAGAAGCCAGCCTGACTGCTTAGAGGAACTGTGTTTAGAGAAACTCTCTTTGTCTGATTTGTGCCTTTGTCTGTGCTTTGCTACCAGAACCTCCCTGCCGGACCGACGTATTGCCCCGGCCCAGCCTCTGCAGCCGAGCTCCTGCCTCAGCGTTCAGCCTCCCTGTCCCTCTTGGAACCTCTCTTGGACCTCCCGCCCTCACTCGGCTTCCCTCAGGTGCTTCCCGGTGTCCCCTGTTCCCTGCTGCCTGAATAAATCCCTCTTTGCTAACCACCAGTCCTTGTTGCTTCTTTGGATCTCTTTCCTGTGAAACCTAACATGCCCCTTGGCTATATTTCTATTTCTATGTTAACCCCGTATATCCCCACACGAGATCCTCAGGTGGATCCCTCCTGATGGTTCCAAAGGCGAACAGGCCTTTTCTGTGACGGACCCTCGGCTTTGGACCGACCTACCTGAGGAAGGAAGTAAGGCTGCAGACTCAGTATCTTCTTTTAAATCACTTCTTAAAACCCACTTTTACAGACTCGTGTTTGAGTGATGTTCTCTTTTAGATGTTCTTTTCCCTTTTATATCGGTACTGCCCGCTGTCCTCTCTTTCCTCCTTCTTAATCTACTTTTATCTTCAGCTTTTATCTTAATTCCTCTGATGTCCTCTTTCTAATCAGTTTCACCAGAACACCTTCCAGTAGTGACCCAGTCCGTTCTTGTCCATTTTTATTGTGTGTATTTTATATTTTTTTGAGTGTTCGCCTGCACTTTTTATACATGTTGTTGTTTTCCTGTGTGTTGTATTTCTTTATTATATAAAAGCACTTTGTGAATTCTGTTCTTAAAAGGTGCTGTACAAAGAAGGTTTATTATTATTATTATTATTATTATTATTATTATTATATTATTCTTTGGCCAATATACCGGCCCAGAAGCAGCCCAGATGTTGCTGCTGAGGCACCGATTCTTGGCTCAAACGGACAAAAATCTCTCCACCTATCTCATTTAATTTGACCTCCATGTACAGATCATAAACTGTAATCGCCTTAACAGATCATATCTGTCTGTTTTACCTCCAGTGTCAGTTATTGAAGGTTCGTTAGTGAACGATCCAGAACCACTGCTGTGTACGTGTGACTCTGTGCTATAGATTACCAATAACGACTAGAACAGTTTCAGCTGTTATTTAAAGGGGAAGTAAACGAGCCTATTTGTGGTATCATTTCCTCACACAAGTCATTTGTCTCTCCTTTAAAGTGCAGCAGCTTAATGAGTGGCACAGACTCATGCTGACATGATTGACGAGCTCAGGAGTGACTTTTACAGCTTCGCCCCGAAGCAGCCGCTGATGCCTCTGATTTCCCAAACGAGCACTTCAACACATTTGTACCGATACGAGAGTCGATCGGGGTCGGGAGGTCGTTAGAGGTTACACATGGATCACAGGACGCAAGGATCGCTCCGTTTAGTCGGATCATTACGTTGTCAGTATTGAATGGTTTTCTCACCTCTGAGATGTTGGACACGGTGTCCATCTGGACCTCAGTGGAGCTGAAGATCTCCGGCGAAGTGGTGTCCAGGATCTCCACGGCGATGGACAGCAGGAGTCGAGCTCTGAAGGACACTCCTTCACCGAGTCCTTCGTTCAGGTCCTGGTGCTCGTCCATGAGGGTGTACTGGCGGGTGGAACCGTACATGTTGACCCAGGCTGGACCCAGCGTGGGCAAGAACCCTGAACAACAAGAGAAGAAACGTTGGAACGTTGCAGCTGCTGGATAGGAGCCGACACGGTGACGTCCTGCTGAAGCCTCGACTACAGAACAACATAAACCCGATTGTCTCCCAACTTTAGGGTTTTTTTTCTCTTCAGCCATGGATAAGTTTTTGGAATTCAGATTTCTACAACATCTGCAGGACGTTTTTATGATTTTTTTTTTCATTAAAGTATCGACAGCATCAAATTAAATAACTATCCATGACAACCAGGACTAACAGAAAAACAAAACTTGATATCTTCTACCAGTCCTCTTAAAACTTATTCTAAAAACT